TCTTTCAGGGTTTTGTATATACCATCCCATTGCCTTCTCGCTTGCATGGTTTCTGCTGAGAAATCAGAGCTTATTCTTACTGGCTGTCCTTTGTACGTAACTTTTTGTTTTTCCCGTGCTGCTTTCAGGATTCTGTCTTTGTCTTTGGTTTTAATGAGTTTGATGATGATGTATCTTGGCGATTTTCTTTTGGGGTCTGTCTTGTTTGGGGTTTGTTTGACTTCCTGAATGGATATAGTCTCATCTTTCATTATTTCAGGGAAGTTCTCCTCCAGCAAATCTTGGACAATTTTCTCAGTTGTGTCATTTTTCTCTTCCTGTTCTGGAATTCTAATGACATGTAAGTTATTCCTTTTGATGGTATCCCATATGAACCTTAGGCTTTCTTCATTTTGTTTTGATTTTTTTTCTGATTGATCCCTTTCCAAAGAAGTATTGAGGTATTTGTCTTCAGTCTCACTAATTCTGTCTTCTCTTGATTCAATTCTCCTTTGCACATCCAGTGTCTTATCTATTCTTGAGAATTTAGTATTAATCTTCTGGTTTAGCTGTAGATTTTGTATTATTTCTAATTTTTTTTAAAATTTTTTCTTGTATTGTCTTCCTAAATTGTTATAGGGTTTTCTCTCTGTTTTCCCCAAGTTTGTCAGTGTTTTCTTTGATTGTCTCTTAATACGTTGAAGGTACCTGAATATAATTTTTTAAAATTCCTTATCAGGGTGTTCCAATGCTGCTTCTTCCTCAGGGATGTGTTGTGGGTCTGTATCCTGGTCTCTTGTTTCCACTGCTGTATTTTGTTTCTTTGTGTGGACTGTGATGATGGTCTGTTATCTCCGAGACTTTGTGACATTTCCTCCTGTAATTTCTTCAGGAAGCACTACCTTTCGTTCAAAATCTAATTCAGATCTTTTCTATCCAAGAAGCCTAGAAACACTCATTCTCATCTTCATAATCTGACAGGGCACCACAGTGTTTATCACAGCCCTTCTCCTATCAGAGATGTTTACGTGTGAGTCTGACTGGGCTTCGGGTGTTATATGTGCCTCTAGAAGAGTACATTCAAAATGCCATGTTGCTTATGTACAGCTTTGGGGGAGTGGTCTTGGAACTTTCAAAGTGGTTACTGTCTAAAAAAGGATTAAGGGCCTCTTGTTCACACAACAGAATTTTGAGTGCTTAGAGGATAGAAGGTGTCATATTTATTTATTTATTTATTTATTTTGTGTTAATTGCATATTGTAGGCATATAGTAGATATTTGTTGAATTAGATTCTCAAGCTTTTTAAATATCATACCTTCACTTAGCTCTTATGGTGTAGGAATGATAACAGCCCTGCAGTAAGCTTACTTGTATGGACTGTTTGTTTAGTGAAGTTCAACTAAATTTTAATCTTACTATTTTGAATTTAAGTTATTGGTGCTTTTATAACTCTCAGTATTAGGGCAGTTTGTTCCTTTGCATTATATACAAGACTCTTTTGGGGCCTGTAAAGATAATGATAGGTAGGATCAGCTAGTTATGCATTCTTTAAACCAGGAAGGTAGACTCATATTGGCTTGTGAGTTTTTGATTTTGGAATCAAAATCAACTCCTGTTAAAGATTGTTTTCATAGTAACTTTTGGCAACACTAAAGGGCATTTCTGTTTTGCCAGTGGGGACACTTTTTGGTCTAGAGAGAGAGGACAATATTAGCTTAATGTCCAGTTCATGATGGGGTTTGTCGCCACTGGTCCTTTCTACTGCTTTTTAATTTTTTTACTTAACAGATTTTACTACATTTCTGTAAGAATGTATGATACAGTACTGAGCAGATGAACTGATTGCTGGATTACTGCTTGGTTTTAGGTATTCAAAACCTTTGACCACATGGCTCGTCAGGATGACGAGAAGAGGAGAAAGGAACTTGAAGAGAAAATCAAAAGAAAGGAAGAAGAAGAGGCAAAAGCTAAAGCAGCTGATACAGCTGAGAAGGAACCTGTACCAGTCCCAGTTCAGGAAATAGAGATTGACTCAACAACAGAATTTGATGGTCCTCAGGAAATGGAGAAAGACCAGCCTTCAGGCAAGCAAGGTGCAGTCCAGGACGAGGCCCGTAGTTTGGAGGAGACAGAGCCTCCAGGAGCAGTTGCTGGCATTGCTAAAGTCCCTAGGGAGCCACTAGCGCTTCCCAAGTAAGAATTTCTATTTTTTAGTTTCCTTTCTTTTGATTAAAAATATTTTATTGTGTTAAGGTAAGAGTTTACACAGCAAAATATGTTTCCATTTTTCAGTGTGTCATTGTTACTGATTCCGTTCTGATTGTACCATTTCCAGTATTCTACTTTATCTGCCCTCTTACCTTCCCATCTTTGCCTTAGAGTAATTTTTGACCATTTGGTCTCCCACATTTGATATTTTTTTCTTTCATTCATTTATTTTTTCATTTTTGCAGTGTTCCCTCCCCTCTCCTCTCACCTCTGGTAACCAGCAAAGAAAGTTTCCTTCCATATATAAACCTTTCCTTGACTTTTTACAATAATGAATTAATACAGTATTTGTCCTTCTGTGATTCAGGTATTGCAGTAGGAGTTATGGGGGATATAAAGACATGTGCCATAGAAGTTCAAAGGAGGTGGCCAAGGAGGATTTCTTAAAAGGACTTAAAAAACCAAGCCAAAACCCACTGCCTCACATTTGATTTTTTTAAAAAGAAACTCATTGCTCATGAGGGATTTTCTTAATTTTATGATCCAATTTGTTTTTCAGCTAACAGCATAATTTTGGTTTGAGATTTAAATGATATTTCAGGGCAGTTGCCTTGGGGAGATCTCTAGTCTCATCCAATTCAGTATGTGTAGACTTTTTTAAGAATTTAAATTCTGTTCCATTTTTCTCTCCCATTCTTTGGCGATGCTTCTAATATTGGCCTCATCAGACCAGTTGGTAGTGGTAGATGGGCACCATCTAGATGAAGCTGTGGTTTGTGCTGACCATTAGTCCTATTACTTTGTTCCCTGAGTTCTGGGTTTTCTTCTTTCTCTTGTACTGGACAAATAGAAACCATAGTTGTATCTTAGATGACCTCTTGCAAGCTTTTTCCAAAAATAATAATTATTATTATTTTTAAAATTTTGCAGTGTTCCCTCCCCTCTCCTCCCACCCCTGGGAACCAACAAAGTTTCCTTCCATGTATAAATCTTCCCTTGACTTTTTACAATAATGAACTAATACAGTATTTGTCCTTCTGTGATTGACTTATTTTATTCAGCATAATGTCCTCCGAGTTCATCCAGGTGATGCAGTATTTTACAGATTCTGCATTCTTTTTTTTTTTTTTTTTT